GCCTCTTGAAGAATAGACATGTTTGATTTAATAGAGAAAATAGACAGGATTTATTGTTGGTACATAATTGTTGTTAAGATTCAAATGAGTTTTCCTTTATAACATTCTGTGTTATATTGCTAGATTCAATTTTATGAGGTTGGGTGACATAATGATGATGTTAAGGTAAATTTGTGGTTGCTGTAGAAGATGTTACTTTATATATTCTCTATTGTTTCTCTTTGAAAAGAGTGTCAAATGTCATAAATGCTTGAAGATATAATAATGTGCTGTAACCATCTTGATGGATGATGCTAAGGTGAATTTATAATTGCTTCAATAGTTGTAATGCCAGCTAAATTCAATTTTAAGGTTGGGTGACATAATGATGATGTTAAGGTGGATTTGTAAATGCGGAGATGTTACTTCTGATGAATATAAAAAAGATGGCGTTGCTTGATTAAGGTTATTTCAATTGGTCATTGATAAAGTAAATGAATAGTTAAATAGGTTTTGTTGGTTGGTATTATCTATTTAGTCTGTTGTTTTCTACTTAAAGAATATGAGGTTTTCGGAGTTTTTAAGAAAAGTTGTTTGAATTATACAAAATTTTACTAAATAATATGACTATCACAAAAAAAGTGTTTAAATAATTTAATTTGCTTAATTATTGCAAATATTGGAATGCACCACATGCAAAATTGTTAATCACTAGGAAAAATGATTTTAAAGTTTAGATTCAAACATAAGAATAACTTATAGATTAATATAAGCAAAAAATTGAGAGGTAATTTATAATACCATTTCCAAGTGATAACCAAAAAAATTTTACAAAAAATTTTATTTGATAAAATCAAATTGTAAATGAAGTAAAAAAAACACTTTGTGAATTACTTTTTTGTTCAAAATGCCCAATTTTAATTTAATTTATTAATTAAAAATAAAATAAACAGAGGTAAATATTATAAATCATCAAGTTATATAATATTGAAACACAATCTTTATTGAGTTCTAATTTAATCATAGAAATAATAATTTAGCTTTATAAAAAATCAGGAAAATAGCCAAAAATTGACAGTGCTTTAACGTGGCCAAAAATATATATTTTCAAATCTAGTTTTTATTTATATCTGAGACCTGCAGGCCCGGCCCTTGTACCCGGGCCGGATTTTAAATTTTTAAAATATACCCGGGCCGGGACGAGCCTGAAATTTTTTTATAGAAATACCTGGCCGGGCCGTAAATTTTTTAAAAAAAATTTATACAACATGAATTATTATATTCGTCAATTAGATATGGTTATAATGATTATATATAGTTATGATTAATAAAATGTTGGGTGAAAGTTAACACTAGCTAACACTCATAGTATCTATTACATAATATAAATAGTTTTCCTGCCATGGAATAAATACGTAAAGGATAATAGGTAATAAATACATTATTATATAATATATGTTATATAAATAAAATATCAGTTTTATTTTTTTTATTAATAAAATGATATAGTATATTCTCCAATGACATATAATAATACCTAGACTGACGATTCATTCATTAAAATGCATTTTTAAGCGTCGTTAAAAGCAAATCAGCTGGACCCGCCATTTTGGTAACCTTTATAATAATTATTTTCATGTTAAAAACTAATATTAAATTGATAACTTACTTTCTTATTATCTCGATGATCAGGCAATTCTTTAATAAAGTTTGCATCAGATATAATATAAAATTAGGCTCTCGTTTAAAATTTTAATATTTATTATAGTAACCAAGATGGCGTCTCTAGCTGATTTGTATTGATGTACACTTTTAATGAATGAATCGTCAGTCTAGGTATTATTATATGTCATTGATATTCTCAAAATATTATTTACACAAATTTTTTATAATATCAATTTGTAATATACTAAATATCTGTTTAGAATAAAAATAAATAAAATATGTAATAAATATATGCTTGCTTATTAAATGATAATACTCGTCGTATGATAAAATACCGAATAGGTGAATTTTTTATATATATACCAGGTCGAATATAATTTTAAAAAATTCCGAGCCGGGCCTAAAAATTTTTTTTTTAAATCAAGGCCAGGTCGTGCCCCAAATTTTTTTAAAAAAATATCCGGGCCAGGCCCTAAAAAATTTTAAAAAAATATCCGGGCCGGGCCGTGCAAATGATACATCTGCAGGTCTCTGATTTATATATTTAGTCAAAACAATTTACTCATAACTCAAAAATGTCAAGTGGAGCACTCAAATTCTAGATCGACCATTTATAATATGAAAATAAACATTAATAAATATTACAATTATAAACAAAAAAAAGAATTGACTTGAATCATAATTTTTATTCAAAAATATCATCGATAATCGCAATTAACCTATATGATTTAATAATGCCAATCCCATTTTCATAATCAAATATTCAAACCAGATATATCGTGCTTCCACCTTTCTTTTCAGAAAATGCCAAATTTGTCTTATTTTACAACTTTTTTATCTTTATATAATCTATTAAACTAATTAAAGAAATATACGAAAGCACTAAACATTAATAAAATGGTTCAGAATTTGTGCTTTCAGTTTATTTTTAATAGCTGAATTGGCCAGTTAACAATTTTTTTTAAACTAACTAAACTGATCAAAGCACCAGCAGGTAGAAATTGAACCAAAAAAACCAAGTAATAATCAACGAGATAAAAATATATAAACCACAAACTAAAACAATTTTTTTTAAATTCAAGATGTTTGTTGAAAAAATTTGCTTGTTTAAATGTTTCAGGAAATTATTTTTTTAAGCCAAACATAATAAAAACATTAAATCTTAGTGTAGATCTTAGAATGAATGCTTCCAAACATTTGGCAATTTCGCTGTATCTATATAATAGAAACGTCGGCTTAGAATTGGAGTGCTCCACTTGCGCAAAGGCTTAAAATGAGAAAATCAACATTAAGTTTAAAATCAAATACAGGAAAAGCTTATTGATCAATTTTGACAGAGCTATAACTTTGGCAAAAATTAATAATTTTTTAATAAAGTTTTTATTTATATATATATTAGGAATAAATAAGTTATTATCCACTTCTAACTCAAAAATTTTGAAAATGTTGAGTGGAGCACTCCAATTCTAGACCGACGAGATAATACATGTTAAAATTAAATTTAAAAAAAGGTAAAAGAAGGAATATTTAAAAAAATAATCTCAAATCAGAATTTAGCATATGAGAAACCTGGCTCTAGGACACAAAAAATTCTCCATTGTAAAAATCCTGGCTATGTCACTATATATCAAATATACAATTACATTATTTTTTAAATTTATTATAATATGCATTTTTGTTGGTTAAAATTCATTTGCTAAATAAATCATTTAAAAAAGTGGGGGTAAATATATTTTATTATTAAAATTAAGTTTTTAACTTTAAATTCAAAAATAAGTAATTTACTAATAATAATACTAAAAATTAATTATATTTCAATTTTTTTATCTATACATCAAATTTGATAAATATTTATTTTATTGTTAAAATTTAAGGCAAACATGTTTTTGACCTTAAATTTAGAAATAAAATTTTCATTTTTTCTGTCCAGATATTATATTATCATTAAATACAATTACATATTTTTGACCATATTCTTTTTTTATCAGGAATTATATTTACACTGAAGAACTTCAAAAATATGAATTGATTTTGATCAATTTTAAAAAGATGTATGTAATGTATATAAAATTTTCTTCAATCATAAAGACTAAGTAAGGAGCTCTTGCTTCTTCATTTTTTTAAAAAAATCATTTTTGAACACCTTACAGCACCAGCTATCAAGTGTAATATTTATATATAGCCTAATGAGGTGAAATCCCAATATTCCTAAAAAGGAAACATAGAAGAATGGCAAAGGCTAAAAAACCTTTAGACCTTCAATAAATTATAATTATTGTATTAAATAACATTTATTCATCCTTAAAAATAATAATATAGATATTTCACCAAATATGCCAATAATTCTTTGGTAGGGGGATAATTGAAAAATGCTTAAATTTACCATTGTAATTTTTATGAGAATGCCCAAATATAATATTGTTACCTCCCCCAAAATGAGCCAAAGTTAAAAATTAAATGGATTGTAGCCAATGAAATGACTATAAATCAATTCCCACTTCCCAAAGAAAAATAGTTTCCATTTTAAAAATATTTAAATAAAATATCGATTTTTTTCTATATAATTTTGATATTTCCCAGTTTGTATAAAAAAATAAGTATTCCCTTTGTTCTTTTAAAAATAATTGTCCTTATTTTTATAGTTCACAAATATTAATATTATTGAATTTAAATTTGCATTGAAACTATTTAAATTTTTTTATGTAGCATCATAGAAAGGTGGTGATTAGAGAGTAAAAAAATCCACCTAGGAAGTTACTAAGTTATTCTTGAAAATTAGTCCTAAAAACGATCATTCCTTTGTAATGAGCCCAAAAGACACGTTTGTAAAGACCAAAAAGACAACTTTTTAGTGGCAAATTATGTAAAATCTTGAATCATATACTTTAATATAAATGAATATCATAAATTAGATAAATTAATTATGGGTGTAAACATTTTAATTCTCATTCATTGGTTTATACATTAATGTATTTATTTTATTTATAAGCTTTTTTTGGATATAGTGTTATTATTTTTATATAATATATTAATATCATTTATATTATATAATGAATCATATCCAATCCAGCTTTAAATTTCTAACAAGATACATTAATTATATAAAGGGAAAATGATTTTATTTATTTTAAAATGTATATTAATAATAACTTTCACTATTTATAAAAAAAAGTATTTTAATTTACTCTTAATTACTTTTAAAGATCAAATGACACTGTAATTTATATTAAATATATGGCTATTTTAATAATGTTCAACCTTTGCTATCATTACTGTAAAGAATTATTTAACTTTTTAAAGTTCATTAAGTCAATAAAAAAAAATTTTAAATAAAAATAAGCATTTGTTAAATAAACCTGTGAATTAACAAAGAATTTTTTGGTTTTTATAAATTGATTGATAAGCCTGACAACTTCTAGTGATAATTCTCCATCCTCATCAGACAAAAATATCTTTTTAAATACTTTTGATGCTAGTGTTATGATCTATTTATATTAAATAAAATAAACATTATAAATTAAAACATGAGTTCATAATTTAAAAAAAAAAAAAAATCATGAAAATATTTTACCTCATTGTTTTTATGGTTTAATAGTGGAACAAGGCAACTCATAATATTTTTACGAAAATTGAAATGAGGCTTTATCAAAATTATATCCCCAAATGATTTTATAATCATCAAAATTATATGTATACTTGGTTGATTTATAATTTTTTTTAACTCTTTAAAAATATAAATTTAAAATAAATTTTATTTACTCGTATAATTAATCATGGTATCAATAAATTTTTTATATAAATTTAACAGTTTTTCTTCATAAGATCTTAAAAGTCTAGTCTCTTTTGCTGCCAATTGTTGTTTTTCTTGTTCAGTTGGTAATCGTATTTTATAACCTGGTATTAAATCTTTAAAAATTTCAGTTATTGAACCAATTATATATATTTTGGCCAAATAATTATCTGAAATAGTTTCATGATTTTCTATTATCAATCTTTTTTGTTTGATGAGAGATAACAATTTTTTCATCTTTATTATCTTGTTAATCAATTATAATAATAATAATAAAAGTATTTTAAAATTACATTTTCTTCAGGATTTTGCAAAATTGTACTAGATATATTTGCTAAAAAAACTCTAAAATTCTGCAGGGAATTAAATTTTGTAATTTTTACAGATTTTTTTTTAATATTTTTTAATTCTATTTTGTCCTTAAAATTTTCTAATTCTTCATCTATAAATGTTTATAGTGTAGTAAAATATTATCAAACCTTTGATGACTTTTGGGATTCTTTCTGTAATTGGAATTAACTTTCCCATTTTTTTTATGGGTAGTAATAGTTTATAATTGTATTTCTTATCTTTTTGTGAGCGAACTTTTTTCTCGCAATCCAATTCATAATCTTTTATTTTGTGCTTTCTAATGAAAAAATTACATTAATATATGTTGTAAAATTTGTATACTTTGAAATATAAAACAAATTTTCGTCATTATATATATTCTGAATGTAATCTATTTCTGCTTCTTCGTCTGAAGAGGAATCATCACTTTCACTAGCAACATATTTTTTATTTTTTACAGTCATTTTGAATTTAATCCAAAACTATCATAAAAAGTCGGGCATCAATCACTACCATATGATGCATCAAGTGGTGACAGACATATAAATTATATAGTTAACTATTGTACCACAAAATAATATACACAAAAGTGATCTGCATCGGGCCTAATTTTTCAAGCCCGGCCCGACCTGAAATTTTTTTAAAAAGATTTGCCGGCCCGGCCCGAATTTATTTAAATATAGAAATTAATTTTTATAATTACTCAAAATAAAAGACATATGTTATATGGCGTTTAGTTTCAATAAATAAAATCAAAATTTTTAATTTTTCATAAAAAATTCAATATAAATTGATAAATTTAGATATATTTTAAAAAATTTCCAATGTCCAACCCGACCCGGCCCGAATTTTTTTAAAAATATTAGGCCCGGCCTGGCTCTCGAACCCGATTATTTTAAATAGATGGGCCGGACTCGGGCTAGGTACGGGCCGGACCTAATTTTGCAGATCTCTAATACGCACCAAATTGTTAGCTTGGAAAGAAATAAAGGTATATTATTATTTTTTCAACTTTTTTGAGTATTGCATATGTAATAAATTAATAAATGATTAATTATGTATATTGTACATTAAAAATAGAATCGAACATTCGAAAAATAATAAATAAATATTTGATATCAAAAATAAATTGAAATATAAATCAGTGGTCGTATTGTTTATAATTAGTAGTTGGTATTACTACAAATGGCGACGATAAATGGAGAAAATAATTCCTTAAATGGAGATAATAATTCCTTAAATGGAGAAAATAATTCCTTAAATGGAGATTCAAAAAAAATAGCGGATTTATCTACGATTTAATTTGATAAATTCGAGTTGGATACTTCTATCCACAGATATTTTTCTAAATGGGAAGCCAGTTTTCGGTTAAAAAACGTAAGCCCATCTGAATGTCAATATAAAGATATATTTTTAACATTTTTTGGCAATAAGAATATTGAGTTGGTGGACCGTTTTTGTTATCCTGATTCGATCGAAACTTTATCTTTTAAGGAAATTAAGTCAATATGTTTTAAACTATTTAAACCGACGTCAACAGCTTTTGCTTCTAGATTTGATTTCGTTAGATTACGGAGAACAACTGAAACCATAACTGAATTTGCAGATAAAAATAGAACAATTGCAAGCGTTGTCATTATCTTAATGATATTGACGAGCGTTTACGTGATCAGTTTATGGTTGGCATGGAAATACCGGGATTGGAAAGAGATCTTAGAGCTCTATATCCCGACAGTATTGATAGAGATAATAATGTACTGACTTTTCAATTTATTCTTGATCTGGCATTAGCTTCTGAGCGAGCAGATAAAGAAATGGCAAATAAAAATATGCCTGTTGTTAATAAGATAAATGTTAATAACAATAGAAATGATAATGATAATAATTATAAACATCCAATAAAAACGACGACTACAATTGATAAAGGCTATAATAAAGTCAAGTATAATAATACATTTGATAAAGAGAATAATAAATACAAATATAATAATGATAAAGATTATAATAAACTTAAATGTTATAAATGTGGTTTTATTCATAACCGAGAAGTGAGATGTCCAGCTACAAATGCGGCATGTAATAAATGTAAAAAAATTGGTCATTTTGCAGTTTGCTGTAAATCAAAGAATTTAAATTATATAAGAGTGTCATCAAGTGATTCTATTCATAATATTTGGAAGATTTAACAAAATCGAGAGAATCGAGCAAAACTAACTGCAGAGATAATTGGGTTAGATGTTGAATTTGATTTTGACACTGGTGCACAAGCGTCATTGATAGGAATTGATATATGGACAAGTATTGGGCGACCAAAAATTAGGCCAACCAGTCCATTGACTGCATATGGTGATCATCCGTTAGATGTCAAGGGCGAGACCCAAGTCAATGTTAGGATTGGATCACAGACAAGGACTCTACCAGTGGTAATAATGAATACAACTGGGGTGCCTCTTTTCGGATTACCATGGATTATAGCATTCAATTTAGAAATGCCTCGTCAGGTTATGATTAAACAAGTACGCAATTTGGTCAACAATATTGAAAAAGAAAAATGTTGCATAACACTAGATTCTAGAATTCGAGATTTGATTAATAAACACCAAGAAATTTCGGAAGAGAATCAAGATTCTAAACATGCTTTGGATATTCGAAGTATTAATTTGGATGATATGCAATTGTCAGAAAATATTCTGCCAAAAGAGTCGAAGCAAGATTTAATATTAAAAAAAGTAGCAATACATATTCAGCAAAGTTGGCGAAACTTTGATCGTCATAAAGATAAAGAAATAGTTAATTTTTATAATCGACGGGAAGAGCTTTCTGTCAATCGTAATATTATAGAATGGAATGGGAGATTGGTTATTCCTAATAAATTAAGAAATGCAGTGTTAGGAATGATTCACTGGGGACATCCTGGGGAAAATGTAATGAAATCTATTTTTAGATTGTATTGTTGGTGGCCCAGATGTGATGTTGATATAGAAAATTTTATCAAAATATGTTCTGGATGCCAGAAAAATAGACCATGGTTAGAAGTTGATCTAATGCAGAATACCTCTGCTGATGCTATGATAAAACGACTAAATAAATGGTTTGCTAGGTTTGGAATACCCAAGTACAGTGTGTCAGACAAAGGACCACAATTCTTATCAGGGGAATTCCGTAGGTATTGTTATTTAAATAACATACGTCATATACGTTCGGCACCCTATCATCCAAAAACTAATGGATTAGCTGAACGTACAGTACGAACTTTGAAAGGTCGGTATTATGCAACGAGAGATTCAATTAGCGATCCCGAAGAAGCTATGACACAGGTTTTAACAACCTACCGATTGGGAGAGCATAGTTCCACAGGGAGATCTCCTGCTAAAATTATGTTTGGGAGGCAATTGAAAACAAGTCTGGATTGGATCCGACCAAATGCCGAACACGAAATAGTAAGGGCCAATGATAAACAAAGCCTTCATCATGATTTACATTCAAAGGAAAGAGAATTTGAAATCTCACAACCTATATGGTTAAATAATGAAAATACCAATGGTTGGAGAGAGGGAGTAATTAAAGAAAGAATAGGACTTTATTCTTATATTGTTGAATCTTCCGGGAAAACATTACGGAAGCATGCAGATCAGTTAAGAAATCGTTTAGTTATCCCAAATCATGAAAGTTCTTTGGAAGTTACAGAAATGGTTGTGCCAGTGAATGAAGCAAATACAAACACAAATACAAATACCACATTACGTTGCTCATCAAGAAACCGTAAACCTACAAAGAGGTTTATTGAAGAAATCTAAGTATATTGTATATTAAAAATAGAATCGAACATTCGAAAAATAATAAATAAATATTTGATATCAAAAATAAATTGAAATATAAATCAGTGGTCGTATTGTTTATAATTAGTAGTTGGTATTACTACAGCATACAATAAATTGAGCTTGTGGCTTCTTCCATATCATGTATACAGTTTCTCGTATTTTCTTAACTAATATTTGATGTTGCTAGAATTATCTCATCCTATATTTATTTATTTCTCTTTTAAACTTTCGAGTTTTTATAGTTCCTAATAGAAATTGAATTTTATAAAAATAGAAATATATTCTTGTGTCAACTCACTTGATTGCATTTTGTTTAAATGATTAAATTAGTTTAATTGTATATAGTATAAGATAAATATTAGAATTATTTTGAATCATAACCAGCTAAGTAAATTTTATTTAAAAATAATATGAAACCATCTCCATATTTCTCAATACGATGAGTATTTGTCCAAATGCCTCCATTATAAGTCTTTATCATAAACCATGGTATAGGTTATAATGGATTTTATGATCATTCATTCATTTATAATTAAATGGGAAAATTAAATAGAACCCTTGAAAAGCATGACATTATTAGGCAAAAAAGTATTCCATTACCTCAGCAACTTTCAAATAATAAATCAATTTTGAAACATGGAAAAATAAAAAAAATAAAATCAGAAGATAAGGTTTTAATATTTTGGACAACTTTTTATAACTGCATAAACAGTATTTGGATTCAAAATTATCAAAAAAAATTATCAAACAAGCCAAACAACAGATTATAGACATTAAAGAAGAAGAAGAAGGAAATGGGTAAACTTATCACATAAGTATGCATTTAAACATTTAGTGATGTGTAGCATTATCCAAATTAATCCTCAAAAGCCATCCTTTCATAAATTTACATTTAACAATGAAAAAGAAGATATAAGCCTAATTAATCAAAAAACTAATGAATATTTACATAAAAATGAAACTTTTGACAATACTGTTTATTTTTATTTGTTAAATTCAAATTATAATATTTTACAGCAAATATTACAACAAGATTTAGATGCTTTTGATAAATTTATGAGTGCTGATCTCAAAGAAAGGCAAAATTTAGTGGACATAATATCAGATCGTTTGACAGAAAAGAAAACAGAATTAAATACTGAAATATTAGGTTTCATTGATTTTTAATATCAATATTAATTATTCAATTATTAGGTGAATACAAAGACACAAAAAATTTAACTAAGAATATGAACCCCAAAATTGTAGAAATGTATAGAGATGTTAGTAAGGTTCTTTCACAATATCGTAGTGGAAAATTGCCAAAAGCTTTTAAAATTATTCCTTCATTAAATGATTGGGAAAATATATTAACATTAACGGACCCTGATAAATGGACTGCTGGTGCTATGTATCAAGCTACAAAGCTTTTTGCATCAAATTTAAATAATAGATTAGTTCAAAGGTAATTAATTATATTAGAAATTATTAAAATAAAATTTAGATTTTATCACAAAATTCTTTTACCAAGGGTCAGAGATGATATATCAGAATACAAAAAACTGAATTATCATTTATACCAGGTTTCATAATATATTATTCAAAATAAATTATATAACATTAATATAAATTTTTTAAAATCAGTTGACCCATTAATAATAGCCCCTATTTCCTGTGCATAAAATTTTTTTATTTTCTAAATTTTTATAAATCATCACATTTATTGAGAAATCTTAAAAATATCAGCCCAGTATCCTAACAGTTTTTGAGTAATTATAATTTTATTCTTTTCTAAATTTTATAAACATAATTCTTATTTTATTGATAATCCTAAAAATTTTAAATCAAATTGTTAGGCATTCAATTAAAACATAAAAAATTATTATAAATCTACTAGGTTTTCTAGTTCATAAATCTTTTTTGAGCTTATACAGCTTCAGCAGAAGGGGTGTACCGATACCAATTTTTGGAGGCCGATCCTACCCGATATTTCCAATATTGAATTGATATTGGCTGATTACCGATCCAATATCATATATAATTTTGTATTCTGTAAAGATACCAATGGTTTTAATTTTTAATATACTTTTTATTAGTATAACATCTATAATTTAACTATACCATAACTTATGTCATTTAAATATATTATAATGAACAGATATAATTATAAACAATGAAACCCAAATGATATTAATAACTATATTGGAAGAAAAGCCATCTGGGATGCAATAAGACTTATTTTTATATATAATTTATTTAGATATTTTGAATAGTCTTGTTAAAACAGCAGAAACTTTAATTTGGACATCCAATTACTATTTATAATTGAAATTTTAAAATTTCTTTATCTACTAAAAAAAATGATATTTAAATGAACCCAAAGGGCTGCCTAGTTTTTCTTTATTAAGTTATAGTGTTGTTAAACGGCTGAGCCTGGCTTAGCTGAAAACTCAGCCAGGTTTTGAGCCAAAAATTTGGCTATGAGCTGGCTGGCTCAGCCGTTAGCTCACTCAAGCCAATTACTGAGGAGAAATTTATTTATTTGAGATTAGTGTTAGTGTTGCTAAACGGCTGAGCCAAGCCAGCAAAGCCCTAAACTCAGCCAGTTTTTGAGTCAAAAATTGACTAAGGTTCAAGCTTCCTCACTGAGCCTGTTTAGTTGGCTGGTTTGAGTCGGCTCGTCTTTTAAGCCAAAATAAATTTATTTGAGATTAGTTTTGTTAAACGGCTGAGCCAAGCTGGCTTAGCCCTAAACTCATCTAGTTTTTGAGTCTAAAATTGACTAAAGCCGGCTCTTTGAGCCAAATTAGTCTGCTGGCTCAAGCCGACTTTTGAGCCAAAATTTATTTATAAACGTCAGAGCCAAGCCTCCTTAGCCTTCAATTCATCTTGTTTTTGAGTCAAAAATTGACTAGGCTCAAGCCAAAAGGAAGATTTCATAATTAAAAAAGATCTACGACACATATTGCATTGGTATGGCAGACTCTTGTTTTTTTCTACTCGCATTATGAAATCACAAAAATTATATTGTTTCCTGACGATAATAATTATTTAGGCAAAACTCATTCACAAATTGCTTAATCATTTTGAGTAACACCTACTTTAAAAATATTCATTTTTTAAAAAAAGACTATGGATATTAAATAATCGGAACCTATTTTAAATATCTTTAAAAATATGATATATTAATTTTAAAAAAAACATTAAAAAAAAGATTGATTTATTTTTTATATTTTTTATTTATTATTATATTAATTTGTTTAATGTAATTTTATAAATTATTATTTTATATTATTTTTGCTTATATATACCCATGCTATAAATGGCAAAAAACACAAATTTAGAATTTGTAAATAAATTATACCCTCATATATATTTTTTAATAATATTTTATTTTTTTGTTTTTAAATTGTATATAATATAAATCATTTTTTTCTTTTAAGCTAAAGATATTTAGATAAATATCTTTCATTAACTCAACATTTTATTTCTTTATTTTTTCATAGAATTTGATGTAAATAATTAATTTTTTTATTAAACATTTTTAAAGGTGGTTTTTTATTAATATTAAGTATTGTTTATGAATTTTTAAATGTGGTTTTTTAAAATATTAATATCAGATAGCTGCAGAGGTAATTTGCATGGCCCGAATTTTTAAAATAGAAAATTTCGTCCAGGATTGTATTTTCAAAAAAAACATGCAAAGGGTAAAAATAATATTTATATTGTAAAGATGTTAAATGATAAATTCAATGAAGATTCATTGGAAAAATGACAATTATCATAATCGGTATTTTTAAACATATTAGATTTTTTTAGACGCTAATGGATAAAAATATGTGTTTTTAACATGTTAAATTAAAATTTCAATTAAGATGTTATATATAAAAGTAACAATTGTCATAATCGTTATTTTTAAATTTTTTTTGATGTAAATGGGCTAAAATAAATATTGCTAACATGTTTAAATAAAATATTAGTGAAGATGTACTCTAGATTAGTGACAATTGTCATAATCGTTATTTTTGAAATTATTGAATTTTTTTGAGCAAATGATAGGTTGTAAATTGTCACTTTCCTACATCTTCATGAAATTTAAATTTGACATTTTTACAATATATTTTAACCCATTGGGTCAAAAAAATTCAAAAGACTTTAAAAATAACGATTGACAATTACTTCTAATCTATACATCTCCACTGAACTTTTATTTTAACATGTACGCAATCTATATTTTTGCTCATTTGCGTCAAAAAAATTTAAAAAATATGACAATTGTTACTTTTCCATGGTACATCTTCATGAAATTTTAATTTAATATGTTTACAATCTATATTTTAACACATTCATCAAAAAAATTCACAAAAACTTTAAAAATGACAATTGTCACTTTTATCTTCATAAAATTTTAATTTAACATGCTTGCAATATATATTTTTACACATATGCGTTAAAAAAATTACAAAAACTTTATAACGATTATGACAATTGTCACTTATTTATAGTACTCATGAAATTTTAATTTAACATATTTACAATATATATTTTTACCCATTTGCGTTAATTTTCCCTTGCGTCAAAAAAATAAAATAAACTTCAAAAATAACGATTATGACAATTGTCACTTATCTAGGGTACATCTTCACTGAAGTTTTATTTAAACATGTTAGCAGTACTTATTTTAGCCCATTTACATCAAAAAATTTTAATTTAAAAATAACGAATAGACAATTGTTTCTTATCTATACATCCTTTTAATTTAACATGTACGCAATCTATATTTTTGCCCATTTGCGTCAAAAAATTTCAAAAAACTTAAAATAACTATTATGATAATTGTCTATTTTCTATGGTACATCCTCATGAAATTATTTTAACATGTTTACAATCTATATTTTTACCCATTTGCGTTAAAAAAATTCAAAAACTTTAAAAATAACGATTATGACAATTGTCACTTATCTATAGTACATCTTCACTGACATTTTGATTTAACATGTTTACGACCTATATTTATACCCATTTGCGACAAAAAAATTCAATAAACTTCAAGAATAACGATTATGACAATTGTCACTTATCTAGGGTACATCATCACTGAAATTTTATTTAAACATGTTAGCAAATAAATATTTTTAAAAAAGTAATTAGAAAAAATCAATTCTTTTAATATACATAAAAATATATAATTTTAAAAAGTTATAAAAAAAAACTATAAAAGATTATTTATTTATAATAAAATTCTCAAAAAATTTCCTCAATTACAAAAAAATTTAAAATTCTTATCAAATGTTCATTGGGCATGACATGAAAATCACTAATAAATTGTAGCAAAAATAATATTACAATATTAGCATATCATTTTTTTTATTAAAAAAACATCAAATAAATAAATCTATTTTCATAATATAATATAAATTATTAAAAAAATTTAAAAACAAAAAAAATATTTATTATATTCTTTAAAAAATATTTAAATAAATTTTGGCTCAAAATTAGACTCGAGCCACCTGGGCCGGCTTAAGCCAACTTGAGCCTAAGCCAATTTTTCGAAAAACTCGGCTTTTTAACAACACTATTAAGTTGGTCTTTGAAATTCTTTTATCATTTCGTAAGATATAAAGAAAACTAGGGAAATCCAAAGCTAAGCTAATTAAATTATAAATAATCTTATATATTTTTACCTGGAACCAATAATCGCAAAATAATTTTAAGCAAAACGGAAATATGCTTAATTTAAACAAATGCACTATTAGCTTTTTGAAACGTTCAATTTGTGCACACTATTCGCCTATAAAAAATGTAAAAACCCAGGGTACTGAAAGCATAGCCCTGAATTTATTACCCCACAACCTTTATAGTTTTAAAGCAAAATAGCACCATTTTTTGAAATGGTAATAATTATGCCTGTTAAAATCCCCCTCCATCATCAATTCTAATATTAGTCAGGTTTTTATTGTATTAAGGAATTTATTCTACAATGACTGCCATCAGGAGATTATACGTTTTTTAACTGATCGCTTGCACTTTTTCAAATAATGCTTAAGAAAATTGAATTAAATCGATTTTGGGGAAAAATATCTTGTAGTTTATCAAAAAAATATCCAGAATACGATAGTTTTTAAAATATTACTTCAACCAAATTAAAAAATACAATAAGTACTGGCATAGCCTTAAGTCCCAATCAACCTGTTTTAAAATGGGGTGCTTTGGGGATGAAGGATTTTTATTTACTACTTATTTTGTGATCTGGAGTTTATTTTATACAGAAATAAGTTCATTTTTAACTGAGTTAAGCCATTATAGTCTAGTTGTTAATTTGATATCCTGTTAGCATGTATCCAGGTTCTCATCCTTCAAAAGTGGTGAGAAAAGAAAGTTTGAGTAAATATAAGATTTTAAATTGTCATCCTGTTAGAGAATAGTGGCTAACTTTGAGCTGACTTACAATCAATGCTCATATGCCATTTTTTTTCTAGCACATCCTATAATTTATATGTAGTTCAAAAAGCATATTGTAATAAGGAAAAATATGAATTGTCTCATAGCTATTTACTTGTATTACTGGTTTTCATAATTGATAAAACCACTGAACAAAAGCATTCTGTCTCTCTTTCACTATATTTATTTCATACTTACATTAACTCAATTGAATATGAGATATTATTTGTTTTAGTTTATATTCAACATAAAAAACAGCCTGCAGGTACATGGGTTGGGCCTTTTTTAATTTTAAAATATAGCTGGGTTGGGTTTGAAATTTTATTTTAAATATCTAGGCTGGACCCTGAAAATTTTTCTAAAAAATACAGGCAGTGTATATTTTAAATCGCCATTATTAACTATAAAAATTAAATATAAATAATTTTTAAAAATCTGGGCTGGGCCATGCAAATTGTACCTCTGCAGGTTTCTGATAAAAGAATTTTTATATAACTAAAATAATTTTTTCATATCGAAATTTATAATTTAGTATTAGCTCCAATATCCAACACACTTTTAAGGAGGAGCTTAAGCAACAATTTTTGAATAAAGATGTCCATAAAACATTTTATTTCTTGCACATATATTTATTTTTTGTTTATTGATAACAAACTAGAACATTGTTTTAGATAATTATATTTTAATCGAAAAAACAACATATCATAGGCACTTTACAAAGCTATGTACAAGCAAGGCGCATTTTTTAAAGGTATAATCATACCTTTGTGTGAATCAACAATAATTACTTCAATCTCTCAAGACAATATACCAGCTTGTTCTTTGAGAGAAGCCTTTATTTTGGGGACTGTATTACAAAAAAATTCTATAAACATATTGCATGCATGTGCAACTATACTTAAACTGATTGAAATATCAAAACCCTCTCCATTTGATGCACCAATGTATTCAGGTCCTATAAGCATATTTTTGAGAATTTTGTTGGATAAGAAATATGAATTACCTTATAAAGTTCAGGACAAACTAATTGATTATTACATCCAGTAAATTATATCTATTTATTGAAAGTTATTATCTGTAACTAAAAAAATTAAATAATTATTTATTAAATAATTATTTATTTTTTTAGCTATTAAATCATAATTTTTTACATCTTATTTTGATATAGTTATAAAATGAACCTACTAATTTTATATACTTTTCTTATATAATGATAGATTCAAGGATAATAAAACACAATTGCCTGTTTTGTGGCATCAGTGTTTACTTTCTTTTGTTACAAATTACATATCAAGCTTACCAGAATCCAGTAAAAATGACCTTCTCGAGCTCATAAAATGTCATTTCCATCCAAAAATATCACCAGTTGTTCAAAATAATATAAAAATTCCATCAAAACTATTAAATAATTTAATTAATCATATTGATCACATAATTGTTAAGGAGAGTTTATTAATGGAAGAATAATTATACAATACTTATATATATATATTAATCATCTTTAATTTTGTATGTTTTCAATGAATAAAAAATATCTGATTGCCCATTTTGATAATTAGTTAAAGCTTCTATAGTTGAGTTCATTTCTATATATCCTGAATCAATGATATCTTGAGAATATATAGAATCATAGGCTAAGTTATTAAAAGGATTATTGTTAGAATCATTTATATGTAGGTGCTGATTAAAATGAGGTTCATCTTCATTTAATATTTCAATTTGAGGGGATGGAATTTTCTAAAATATAATAAATTATTTAATTACAATCAATTTTTTAAACTTTATTGATCATATTTGTGTGTCCTAATATGTTGAATAAGCTACTATTTTCTAAATTCAATTTTAATAAAAATATAATAGAAAATATACCTTTATCTGTTAATGCTGAAAGTTTTAAGGATTGACTCTCATATGATAATATATTCCTAAAATGCGTTAAAAACTCTAAATATTCATTTAAATATTTGCATGTCTTTCCCTATGTGAGATATAAATAAGGCTTTTAAGTTTTTTTTTACCAATGTTCCTCTTGACTTCCCATTTTCTACTAAGCCTGGTATCATGTTAGCAGCCAGTAGTGTTTGTGAGACTAATTTTCTATGCCGAATCCTATATAAATAATTTTACATGAATTTAATGCTTATTTACCTTTCTTGATCACGATGTGAGTTAGTTTCCATCATATTAATCACACAAAATTTATCTTGGCGCTTTTTTAAATTTATTCGTTTCTCGACAAAAGGTGAAAAGGTTTTTTAAATTTTTGGATTCCATTTTACTTTTCATAAACAATTTTTTTTAGAAAAACATCTTAAAATAAAATATATTTTTTTATAATAACAAAAATTTTTACATATAATTATTTAGAAGTTGAACACGAAAAAATTACGACTATTTTATCTTTATTTAATATTAAATTATCTTAATTATAGTTAAATACATTATTAGCCATAAATTCAAGAGCATTTATATTTTTGTTTAGATAACGCTTGCATTAATCTTTGTGAGCAATAAGGTATTATATAAATTCTAAACAAAAAAATTAGGACAATTTCATATTAATATATGATTGCTTATGAAAAAGTTCTAGATTCAATGAGAAAAAAGAATTTGAGACAACATGTGATTTACCTATCGACAAATATTTATTATTCCCCACCTATTATGTAGGCATTGTTTAGACGTAGAGTTATATACATAGGCAGCCAGGATTTTCTTGAAAGGAGATTAATAAATTTCTGGAGAATTGGCCTCCAGCCCCCATTTTGGGCAGGCCTTCGGCCGGGTTTCCTTAGTCTATATATAGTAATAACATATTTTTACAAGATAGGAGGTTAATTTTAACTAAAAAAATATCTTTTTTTAAAATATACGAAATTGGTTGAGATTTTATCTAAAAATAAGTATGGTACAAATAGGAAATATATTTTTATTAGTTTATATAAAATATAATTAGTTACAATATATATACATTCAGAGCACTAAGCCATTTAATCTATTTTGCAAGGTAGTATTTGGCAAATATATTTTTAGCCTTGATAAATTCAAGAAAAATTTTTCATTAGTACATGTCGTAATAGGGAGGTATGCTAAAATTTGAAATAATTTGTAATGTATGGAAAGTTTATTAATGCATGTTTACTAACATTGAGTGCATTATCAAGCTTAATGCCAATTCATTTTAAGCTTACATATCAATATTTAAATTCAAATTACTTCCAATTATGTCCCTACCATATCTTGCAAATAAAACGTACATAAATAGCTATTTTAATTTTTTTAAATATACCTGAGCCGGGCCATATATTTTAAAACCAAATATTTGAAACCGCCATTTTTAACTGTAAAAATCAAAAAATATATTCTAAAAAAATCAGGGCCGCTGAAAAAAAGCTGGGCCTGAAAATATAAAACGTGCAAATGGTACCTCTGCAGGTCTCTGATAAATAGTGAATTTTATCTCTAATCTCATTCGAAATGCTCACTGATGGATTAGAGGATAATAAAATTTGAAAGTTATTGAGCAACAGTTTATGATTCAGTAAGCGTTCTCTAATTTGAGTTTAAAATGTATCAATAAATGGTATGAAAATCGTAAATCCGACTCCTCAACTGATTATGTGGAAATATTATTCCTATGTACTTGTCTTGACATGATTATTATAATATTATTATATGAATGCACCTTTTTTGAACCATGTTAAAAATCTTGCTAAATTCACAAATTTAACCATATTGAAAATTTTGAATGTATTATCTGGATAGAATTATTGATCAATAAATTATAATAAAATTTACTGCAGATCAATATTAACTTTAAAAAATATAAATATAATGTTAAAATTCATTAACTATCAGTGGCGTCACTAGGGGGAGGGCACAAGGGCTCGAGCCTCCTAAAAAATTTGAATAGCCCCCTGAAGAAAATTTTTTTTTTCAATGACTCCTTAATTTACCCTTGAACTAAAAATAAATTTTCTTAATTGCTCCCTGAACAATTTCTTTTATAATTCTTTTGAGCAATATATAGATTTTATTTTAAAAAATTAATAAGACTATCTAAATTTTTATTAAATGAATACTATTTTAATTATTCGATTAGATTAATACATATAAATTATATTTCCGCTATGTCAGCTTGCGATCAAATTCTGTGTTAAAAATATATCAATATCACTCACTAAATATTAATTTAACATTAACAGTTGAATCTTAATTGACTTTTATAATTTAAATTATTATATAACCTTAATTAAATTAATATAATCATTATTAATTGAAAATTAAGAAATTTAATTGTAATTAGCCGAGTTTAACATCACTAATCAACTATATTATTGATTTTAAAATTTAATTATCATGTTTCTTTCTAAAATTGATTTCAAGGTCCAAATCCAAATGAGTATGTGAGATTTATTTATTAAAAGTAAGTAGACATATAGTTTATATTCCTCTATTATATATACTTGTTTATAAAATATTAGGTAAAATGCCACTTTTGCAGACGTATTTGACAGTTATATAATATATTACAGTTAATATTTTTATAATTTTACTAATCAATGCTTTTGATAATAAATATAAGTAACAATTTGTATTAAACTATTTAACGCCATCTTAAAATATTATTATAATTAAACATTATTTTATTCATCCCACAATGGATGTAATAAATTAGTTATCTTTTCTTCTCATTTTTTACGTGTTTTTAGGAAAGCTATTTTTTTCTTCTTTGAAAAACAGTTTTGATTAAAATTTTTAATACGAATATATTTTAGATATTATTACAAACTACTATTAATTTGAGATATAATATACCAACTAGAGATGGTGCGACAATAATATATAAAATTTTAATTGCTTTTATGATATCACTTTGTTATTTTATAGTTACAAAATGTTTCATTTCTAATATGTCATCCTTGCCGTGTAAATAACTCAAGGCTTCAATAAATTTGCATAATTTCTTCTAAAGATTTTTAGTATATTTGTTTCATCAATTTATCTAAAACATAGGCGTAGCCAGGATTTTCCTAAGGGGAGAAGGGAATTAAAATTTTTCTAAGGGCTTCGCCCCCAGACCCCATTATGGGCGGGCCTTCGGCCCGCTTTTGCCCGGCCTTCGGGCGGGTTACCTTAGTCAATATATAGTAAAATATTTTTACAAGATAGGAGGTTATTTTTAATAAAAATATAAGCCTGGAACAAATATGATATATTTTATTAGTTTATGTTTAATATAATAAATTACTTGTGTATACATTAATATAAAAGTATGGTATTAATTTATTCCAAACAAGTATAAGAAATTTATTTATAAAAAGTAAGTAGACATATAGTTGATATTCCTCTATTATAAAGAATTGGAGGTTTGTATTGTAGGTGTTTTATTTGGTAATACCTTAAAACAAGACTATTAAGGGGTATATTAAAAAGGTTTGAAGTGCTTAGAAAATGCAAATACCTCATTTTTGTAATAGAAGATAAATAGTTAAAATATTTATTTTTTCAAAATTTTATAAAATAAAAATTTTTAAGAGTATATGATTTTTTTTTAATTTGATTTTTTTTAAAAGTAAAAATTTTGTCCAACAAGCCCCAATAACGGGGTAAGACAAACCATTTCAAGGGGTTTCCTAAATAGTTTTATTTATGCCATAATAAATTGAAATGCATTTTTATTTATTAATAATGATATGAATAGAATAATTTTATTGTTGTAATGTTCAAAATATCATAATACTTATAAATTGAAGCTAATTATATATAAAAATTGACACTTAATTTTGGTTATTTAATAAACATTTTGGATATAAAAAAATAAGTATCTTAAGGAGAGATTATGACTTCTTAACATAAATCCTAAATACCAATCATAAACAGCCATGAAATTGCTTTTTCAAGATTTTAAATTTTTTTTTCATTATTAACATTCATAATTTATGTGAATGGTTTAGCAAGCCCTGCTAGCTCTAAATTGAATCATAATTGAAATGATATCTAGACATAATAAATACTCATAAAACTTACCCAAATTATAGAAGAGTGTTTAAATTTTGCTACAAAATTTAATTCACATATAAATGACTATATATTTTAATAAAAATTAAAATTCTGTCATGTAAAAATCTTTTGAAACTTTCATCAAAATTTTATTTCTTAAATAAAATTTTTAATAATTAATTATTTTAAAAGATTTTTTTTCTATAGATGTTAACTAATAAAAACTATATTAGAATAAAATTTTAACCTTCTGGTATATTTAATTTTAAAATAAGATTAAGTGGTTTGCCAAGCCCCGGGGTTTACCTAACCCCAGTCTCCCCTAATTTAATTTTGTGAGGCCATATTCTTTTAAAATTGTATTCTCGTTTTGGTATTCAGAAAATGTATTCTTTTATTTTTATATAAATAGAGAAAAGATAAAAATATTTTTTAAATATTAATAAGCAGTGGCGTAATCAAGATTTTCTCATGGGATGGGGGGGGGATAAGAACTACTACTTTTAAAAAAATATTTAATTTATAATTTAAAAAGTGTTTTACTTTTAACAGTATTTTCACGAGAGATATAAATGGTTTTGATATGTAAATTATAAATTTGAAAAGTGAATGAAAGTGATACATCCTATTAAAAATTTTAATTTTATTAATTATATATGATAATGGTCGAGTTTTAAAATATTCAGCTCTGCCCGGGTTTACAGGAACAACTCGGCCTAGTCTGGGATGTTGAAATTTTTTTGCGGCCCGCTATACCCGGGTTTTATGCTTGGCTGTATCTGATAAATAGAATATACATAAAAAAGAAAGAATTTATTTTTAATATTAAATATTTTGCAATAGGAATAATTGTATACTTAAAATTTGGATTAAAACATCTTATTTATATGACTTTTTTTAATGCATTCTAAATGGCATATATATTTTTTTAATAATTTATTTTAAATCTTTCCCCTTAAGGTGACTACTCAATAATGGTAAGGCCTGGGATAAAATATATTTTTTTTTAAAAAATAGCCTAAAAAATAAGAAAACCAGCAATAAAAATAAAATGCCATTTTTCTACTCAATTTTGTAAAATTGGCGTTAATTATAAAACCCTAAAAATAGCCAGCGTCTACATGAGCGGGTGGGGGGTCCAGTTTTTCTTGAGGGGGTAGTGGAAGGTGTATTTAAGGGGGTAGGATAAATTTATTGGGAGGTTATGTATAAAATTTTTAGATAAAATAGGAAAAAATATATTGCTGTAAAAATTAATACTTTTATTATAGACCCAAAACTATATATTGCAAATAATCATAGACATTATTTTCCAAATAAAACTTTCTGATATCCTTTTAAATGCTATTTAAAAGGGTTAGACATTCTCAGTAAACCATATTCATGACAAACAATATGCTATAATAATGCCTTCATTGTAAATGAGGGGTTTTTTAATTGAATTCATGATTTAAAAAATAACTCCTTCACAATATTTTGATAGTTGGTAGTAGAGCTAAAATAATTTTTTTTAGAAGGGTAGATATAGTTTTTCAGGGGGGTTTGCATGCAGTGAAAATCCTGTCATGTAGACGCTGAAAAAAGTAAAACAAAAAAACTAAAGCAGGACAAAATACTCAATGGTTCTTGATTTTTTTCCCCAGATGGATGATCCTCATTTCGAAGTAAATAGTTTTGACCGAATAAAAAAATTAAAGATCTTACAATTCCAATAAATATTAACAACAACTGTTTAATTTTTTAAAAAAAATGCTTTTTTATAAGGTTAAATAAACATATAATGTGTTTATAAATGTTGTTAGATTTATAAAAAGCTATGAATAATATAAATACCTTATAGAAAAATATTCTTTAAGGGTGTAGATAATTAAATTAACAATAGATCCTTTCTCTAGAGATATTGTGGGAAATATAAATATAGATTTAAATTATGTAATAGGAAATTTTTCTAATCTTATAGGAAGATAATAATTTTTTTTTGACTAAGTCACCAATTATAAATAATAAAATGATTGGTTTCACAAATTATTATTATTAACATTTAAATGATAAAAATTTAAAGGGTGTAATAAAAATATTATATCGTTAATAGGAAGGGATAAAAAAAATCTCAACTTCACCACTAATTATTATCTAGTAACTTGCCATTGGTCTCTAACTTTGTGTTCAGAGGTAAGACAATGCTTTGGTGCTAGAAAAAGGATAGAGATATCTTTGAAAGTAGATAGTGTAAACTCTCATTTTTTTTACGTCCTGCTCCTCCCGTCCCCTTATCTAATTGAAGAAACGGGAGGACTTTGTCGTGATCACTAATAGCGGGGCTTCTTGTTTTTAGTAAATCTACCGAGATTAGTCTTGGTAAATCTTATACGTAAAGCTTTTATATATTTCGATTCAGTCCAATTTTAAGTTTTAATACTTGATGAAATTATAGAGCTAGTTAAACCATGGCAGACCCCTTTATCCCATCTTTAACTTATAAACACCAGGATACTTGAATTTTGTTTTAATATAGGTTTTAGTAGTGAAGTGAACATCTACACATAAAAAATATTTTGAAATAATTAACTATTAAAAATTTATATGATCAATAAAATATTAATTTTTGGAAAAGTTTTGCAATTCAAGATTATAATTGATATTAAATTTTCAAAAATATAAATATATATAATTTAACATTTATATAGCAAAGTTTGAACCCTCTTTTATAATTTGAGAAAATTTTACAAAAATTTTTGAAAGCTAGATATTATATTAATCATGTTTAGTAAAGCTACTTTTATTGGATGCATAACCAAGGTAATTTGTATGGCTAATATATCATTATAAAATATTTTTTTATATTTCTATTTTATCTTTGGTTATTTTATGAGTATTTTATCATATTTCATGAGATATTATAAAAAATGTGAAGAACGGAGTATTTTATATGTCTTAAATGTATTTAAAATTATTAAAAGTATATTATAATTTTTATTTGTATTTTGGCATATTTTAATGTATAGTTATAACTTAAACAAAAAAATATTAAAATTTTTCTATAAATATCAATCTTAAGAAATAAAAATGACATTATTTTTCCATTATAAAGCAGGAAATCAAAGGTTAAGAAGCGTCACAAAGTTACTCTTACAAAAGGTGAAATTAAGGAAATATATTAGTGAATTGTTATAGTATAGTGTCTCTTAAAATATAAAAAGTTATGGAAGTATTAAAAGATTTTTTAAGAAATGGCTTGACTAACCCCGGTCTCCTTTACCTTATCTCATTTGCAGCGAAATTCAGAATTTCTATCCAAAAGACAACTTATTTTTTGATCAGCAAGTTCAATGGGTAAGATAGATTACAACATGGACACTTATTTAATTAAGCAAATATTATTATAACTGTTATTGTAGCTACCCTTTTGCTGGCTTAGTTTTCATAAACAATTTATCTTGTAACTCTAAATGTAAAATGGGTTTACAAGAAATTTGCTCAATGCTATTGCCAGATTTTTATTAACAACAAAAAATGGCTATTCACTTATCTAAAGTATAATTATTCAAAAAAATTAATTAATGGAGAAGTTAGGTCTTCTTCTAGCGACAACATATATAATCTGTCATAATTTACTATTTGAATTTAATATTAAATTATGAATGCACAATATGACATCATTTTAATAGTTATAATAAGAGTCATATAACCTCTCATGGTTTCTTACCAATAATATAGATAGTTTTATGGGTGGTGTTAAAAAAATTACGAAATAAAACTAAGATGTTTTAGAATATTAATTATTTATCTTTAGTTTTATTATAATAATGTGACCAATATTTTAAGAAATTGTTAATTAATGAGATTATTTGACATTATTCACTAAAAAATTATTTAGAATATACATATGCATCTGAATCTATTTATTGATTTTGAAATATAATATATAATCTCGTCACAATCATAACAATGATAGAGTATATAAAAATATATTATATGTAAATTAAAATTTATACTTGTCGTAAAGAATGATACAATTCAACACGAATGATGATTTTTTGACTAGTTAATTTTATTACATATATAAACATAAATTATTTATAATAAAATATAGTAATTTCAACATTATTATAGTAGAATGCAGATTACGAATAATGATTTATTCTATTCTAAAAATCCAGTTTTTATTAATTTATCTAAGAAAAATTTAAGTTCTGAAAGACTACTCTCTTTAATCCTGAGACTACCGAATGTTTCTGAGTCCCCCTTTTCAATCTTCATTAACATTGATTTTAGATGCACAATATCATTTCTCATCAAATTTAATGCTTTTGCAAAATCTTCAATAGTTTGACTCTCTAAATTTAATAATAAATATATTTCATAAATTTATTATACGTCTCGGAATATATGTTACAGCTAATATACAAACTTAGCGAGAGGCTTAGCTAGTTTATAAACTACCGAGCTAATGTACAAACTATACATAAAGCTACCTAATTAAAATAAATTTTTCTACTCATTTATGAGAATTTTATTATTAAAAAAATATTAATCTGGATTTTCTAGTTTTTGACTATTTTTTTAAACCTATTTTTGATTATTTAAATTATTTGAAATTTATTTCATTTCAATCTATTTATTTCCACCTAATTTCGATTACTTACAAAAAAAAATTTACCTAATTTTCTTAACATTTTATAAATTTTTTCCATATATTTTTGAGTGTTTTATGATTTTTTAAAATACATAACTTATTTTCATTTTGTTCGAATTTGGGGGGCTACAAAATTTGTTAGCAGTAATTATTAGTCAATAAGATTAATTTTATTTTCTTGGGATGACGGTTCAAGGTGTTCTAAATATGTGTTACGAAAACAAATTAAACAGTGTTGAATATATATTAAAAATAATGCTAAGAGATACCAAGTGAATTGCATTAGCATTGTATTATTACATACAAAATAATAAAACCAAAATATAAGTTAAATAAAACTTCAAAAAAATGAAAAATAGCAAAAATTGAGCGGTAGAGAGATATAAAAGTAGAAAAAAAGGAATAAGTTTTGAAGACATAAACAAACTGGAAATACAAAATAAGATTAAGATTATGATATATTAAACTAAAAAAATCTAAATAAATACTAAAAAAAATCGATGAAAAAATTATGAATAACCAAAATGGAGAATATTAGATTAAAATTTTAAAAATATAATTTATTGTTAAAATAAGTATTAAAAACATGTTTAAATAAAAATTTAGTGAAGATGTACCATAGAAAAGTGACAATTGTCATAATCGTTATTTTATAAGTTTTTTGAATTTTTTTGAAGAAAATATGTTAAAATAAGTATTGATAACATGTTTAAATAAAATTTAGTGAAGATGTACCATAGAAAATTGACATTGTCATAATGGTTATTTTTAAAGTTTTTTGAATTTTTTGACGAAAATATGTTAAAATAAGTATTAATAACATGTGTAAATATAAATTTAGTGAAGACAATGAAAAGTGACAATTGTCATAATCGTTATTTTTAAAGTTTTTTGAATTTTTTTGACGAAAATATGTTAAAGTAAGTATTAATAACATGTGTAAATATAAATTTAGTGAAGATGTACCAATGAAAAGTGACAATTGTCATAATCGTTATTCTTAAAGTTTTTGGAATTTTTTTGACGAAAATATTTTAAAATATTGTCATAATCGTTATTTTTAAAATTTCTTTGATGTAAATGGGTAAAAATATAGATTGTAAAATTAAAATTGTCTGAGTATATGCCATAGAAAAACATATGGTAATAATAGATTCTTCCCCAAAAACAGGAGCAAATTGGCATTTTATTACATCCGTTCATCGGGTAAGAAATTAATATGCAAAATTTATATCATAATATATAATCCTAAGTTAGAAATTATTATTTTTTTACCAATTTTCACCAGACAATAATATCGATGCAAGTTAACTATTTTCACCAGACAATAATATCGATGCAAGTTAACTATTTTCACCAGACAATAATATCGATGCAAGTTAACTATTTTCGTCAAAAAAAATCAAAAAACTTTAAAAATAACGATTATGACAATTGTCGCTTATCTAGAGTACATCTTCACTAAATTTTTATTTAAACATGTTATCAATACTTATTTTAAAATATCTTTGTCAATAAATTACAAAAAACTTTAAAAATAACGATTATGGCAATTGTCACTTTTCATTGATACATCTTCACTAAATTTATATTTACACATGTTATTAATACTTATTTTAACATATTTTCGTCAAAAAAATTCAAAAAACTTTAAAAATAACGATTATGACAAATGTCACTTTTCATTGGTACATCTTCACTAAATTTATATTTACACACGTTATTAATACTTATTTTAACATATTTTCTTCAAAAAAATTCAAAAAACTTTAAAAATAACGATAATGACAAATGTCACTTTTCATTGGTACATCTTCACTAAATTTATATTTACACATGTTATTAATACTTATTTTAACATATTTTCGTCAAAAAAATTTAAAAAACTTTAAAAATAGCGATTATGACAATTGTCACTTTTCATTGGTACATCTTCACTAAATTTGTATTTACACATGTTATTAATACTTATTTTAACATATTTTCGTCAAAAAAATTCAAAAAACTTTAAAAATAACGATTATGACAATTGTCACTTTTCTATGGTAAATCTTCACTAAATTTATATTTACACATGTTATTAATACTTATTTTAACAAATTTTCGTCAAAAAAATTCAAAAAACTTTAAAATTAACTATTATGACAATTGTCACTTTTCATTGGTATATCTTCACTAAATTTATATTTACACATGTTATTAATACTTATTTAACATATTTTCGTCAAAAAAATTCGAAAAACTTTAAAAATAACGATTATGACAATTGTCACTTTTCATTGGTACATCTTCACTAAATTTATATTTACACATGTTATTAATACTTATTTTAACATATTTTCGTCAAAAAAATTCAAAAAACTTTAAAAATAACGATTATGACAATTGTCACTTTTCTATGGTACATCTTCACTAAATTTATATTTACACATGTTATTAATACTTATTTTAACAAATTTTCGTCAAAAAAATTCAAAAAACTTTAAAATTAACCATTATGACAATTGTCACTTTTCATTGGTACATCTTCACTAAATTTATATTTACACATGTTATTAATACTTATTTTAACATATTTTCTTCAAAAAAATTCGAAAAACTTTAAAAATAACGATTATGACAATTGTCACTTTTCATTGGTACATCTTCACTAAATTTGTATTTACACATGTTATTAATACTTATTTTATCATACTTTCTTCAAAAAAATTTAAAAAACTTATAAAAGAACGATTATGACAATTGTCACATTAAAATATTATCCTTGAAAAGATCATATAAAATAACATCAAAAAAGTTTCATAAAATCCACCTCATTTAATAATAAATAGATAATTTTAGAAAAAAGATAAAATATTTCACCTAAAAGATTGTTTATTTATCTAATAAAATTTACAATATAATTCCTCAATAAAAGATGTATTTACAAAGAAGATTGTGAAAATCACTAATAAATTATATTATAAAGAATATTACATTTTTACAATATAGCAGCATATTATTTTTTTTATTAAAAAAACATCAAATAAATAAATTTATTTTCATTTCAAAATATAATAATATAAATAAAAAATATTAAATCATATCATGTTTATTTGTTGATAATAATAAAATATTTACATTAAATATAAATAAAATAAATTATTTTACTAAAATAAATAAATAATAATTAATGCTAAGCATCGATGCAGAATTTTGACTAATTTATTTTAGCCAATTTTTAGGTTAGCCCATTTTTAGGCTTAGCCAATTTTTAGGCTTAGCCTAATTAGGTTTAGCCGATTTTTAGGCTTTACCTAATTAGGCTTTACCTAATTAGGCTTAGCCGATTTTTCCACCTAAAATCTCTGCTAAGCCGTTTTTAGTCGGCTAGCTTTCCCCATGAGAGGCTTTTGAGCTACAAAATATTGATTATTTTTAATATAAAAATGATATTTTTATTGATAAAAATAATAAGTCATAATGGTGAATAATTATAAAAAAATAAGTGATATTTGTAAATTAAGAATGAATTAAAATTGTAACAGGATTCATATTCCCAAAAAGTGCATTTACTTGGGACAAATACCCATAAACATTTTAGATGCATTTATTAGAAGATTGTATAATATGTATCTTGCTCTTTCTCGAATATTTGTCATCTTGATGTAGACAAATTTAAAATCTTGTTGTTTCATTAATTTTGATTTATATCTTTTTAGTGTTGCATAACCACAGTTTGTTTTCTCCAGAACGGTTAGCAAGGATGGATTTTCATTAAAAATATTAATGATTTTATCAATTGTTAATTGTTTCATTTTTCTAATATAATTTCTTACCATATTCAAATTTCATCAGACAAAAATATATTTTAAAAATAAGGCTCAAAAAGCTCATAAAAACTTCTGAAAAGTAGTCTCGGGCCCCAATATTCTTAAAATTTAATTTTACGGTAGCTCAAACATTTGATAGGGTTTTATTTTTTATATAAGATATTTGGATATTTAAAGCCTTTATTATTTTTTATTTTTAATAATTGGCAGCATTTTAAAAAGTTACTTTCGAGGGTATGAAATATACAATGTGTTATAAAAATTTTACATGTGATCCGGTATTAAATAAAATTATAGACGAAGCATTATTTATTAAAAAATTAACCATTAAAGTTGAGTACTTTAAAAGAAAACCCAAAGCTCGCAAGAACCTTGGGCTTATAAGATCCCCGATCTCCCCTACTCTAAAATGGGAGAAAGAAACATAAAATTAACAAAAATGAAAGAAAAAATTAGTTTAAGTAAATCAAGATATAATTAAAAATGGGTTTAAAAAAAGAATAGGGATACTGGGATTAGGTAAACCTGGGGGCTTGGTAAACCTTTTAATCTAATTTTAAAATATTGAAGACTAGAAGGTTTAAATGTTATTCTAATATAGCTTTTATTAGTATGCACCTATAGGCAAAAAATCTTTTAAAATACTTAATTATTAAAAAAAATTTGATATAAAATTTAAAAGATTTTTACATTAATTAAGTTATATAATTATTTATATATAAATTCAATTTTATAGTTTTTTTATAATTTGAAAAAGTTTTATTTTTCTATATATTATTTCAATCATGATTAGTCAATTTAGAGCTAACGGGGCTTGCTAAACCATACACGTCAATTATGGCAGTTAATATGAGAAAATATTTAAAAATCTTGGAAAGAAAATTTCATG